GTCGGGGTCAGCGTTGTTTGCCTCCTGGCGACTCAGTTCCGTCATCGTTGCCTCTGCATTATCTTGCTTGGTACATGCGACGACGCCCTCCGTGAATGTCGCTCTCCAAGCTTCTTTCGATTCCGCACCTTATCTTATAGAGCTACTGTGAGAGGAACCCGTCCGATTTGATCATTGAAGGCCAACTTGCTCGACCACTCTGCTCACCTATTAAACTAGGGAAACGGCTGCCGAGGAGAACTCGACATCATATTTCCCGATACTAGACCGAATCGCCGAGGGAGCTTTCGATGATGCCGTGACAGACAAGGAGCTGTATGATCGGTTCCTGGAGGTGATTCACACCGACGGACACCTGAGGACCCCCGAAGCACTCTCCTCTTTCAAGTTGTCGTTGTCCATCCGATCTGCCAGTCCTCGTATCGCCGCACACTATCAATACTATAATGCCTCGGTCCAGCATTCGCTGGCGGCGGCCCAAGACGCAGTCTGTCCGGTCTGGGTCCATGCGGAGGGAAAGCAGTATTGCTCCTCTACTCTGGAACGTGCCCAACAGGGTGTGATGGGTCCAAGGTTCGCCTCATGTCGCTGAATTGAATGGTGAGGGTTCGCAGCTGACTGCTTTGATCTCTAGTGACCCTCCAGAGCTCCCCTTCGATCGCATTCTCGGAGATTATTCCCTCCCACCGGCGATCCTCTATGCGGACCTAGCGTCTCCGATGTTCAAGGACTTTCACCAGTCCCTGACCGCTCTTGCCAGAGATGGCCAGTTCTCGTATCGAGTACGTTACAGGCCTCCGCAGCACTGGAGTTCGCGTCCGCTGTTCGTGTCGGGATATGGTGTCGAGCTTGCATTGAAACGGACGGATTACATCGTCATTGACGACAGGGCTGCTGAGGAAAGGAGCTCCGATGCTTCAGGCTCGAAAAAATCAGTCAATGGGGAGGGAGATGATCTGGATGACCTGAGGCCACTGTCCTCGTCGGAAGTATCACGGCTCGGTCCGGGCACTGTTGGCTACGTACTGGACAGCCAGAGCCCGCTGGATACACTGGTCGAGCTGTCGCAGGACTTCCCCAAATACTCGGCCAAGATTGCCGCCCACAATGTCACCAAAGAACTCTTACAGGACATCCAGACAAGTCGGCTCCGGATGCTCCCTCCGGGATTTAATGCCCTGTGGATTAATGGTGTTCAGATCGATGCTCGACAGGTCGATGCTTTCACTCTCTTAGACCACCTGCGTCGTGAGAGGAAGCTGATCGAGAAGTTCCGCAACCTTGGACTCTCCGCCAGTGAGTCCGTGGATCTGCTGTCCCACAAGTTCCTGGCAGCGGCAATGGCTCAGGATGGCCCTCAGCGGTACAACTACCGGGACGAGATCGAGGGTGGCGGTGTGATCATGTGGCTGAACGACCTCGAAAAGGATGCACGCTACGAATCGTGGCCAAGCGACCTCGGTGGAGTGGGTAATCCTTTCCCAGTGATGAGAACACGATGCTAATTATTGTCAGTACATGCAACGTGTATTCCCTGGCCAGTTGCCGTCTGTCCGTCGTGAAGCCAACAATGTGGTTATTCCGGTTGATTTGGCCAAGCTCGATGATGCCACCCTCATTGTTAAGTCCATCCAGGTCTTTGTGAAGAACAAGATTCCCGTGAGGTTTGGCTTGGTTCCGACAACTTCCTCCCCGGGCTCAATTGCGCAGCTCAAGGTTGCTCATTACCTGCAAGATACCTTTGGTCTGGCTAGCTTGATGAGCTATTTGGAAACGTCAGTGTCCAAGAACAGGTTAAGCTCCCCGGACAAAACAGCCTTTCAGGCTGCGACCGCAGACCGAACTGCTCGCCCCGATAAGCAATCCTTGTCTCTGGATGAAGTGCTCAAGAACGATGCCGTGGACACTATAGTTAGCCGGACTAGTGAATACTTGAAACGTCTGGGTCTCACAGGAGAAGCGTCACACTCGTTTGTGAACGGCGTCCCGATTCTTCGTAATGAGAATTGGGCTCAGGAATTGAGCTCCAGGGTCAGCCGGGATATCCAGGCAATTCAACAGTCAATCGCTGATGGGGAACTTGCCGAAGACACATGGTTACCCGGCCTTTTCCTCTCCGATGCCTTCGACAGACGTAACCCTGTCATTGTCCCTGAAGATCCAAAGGATGTTCGAATTGTGGACATGGCGCAAGTCGCAGAGACGTATGGCGAGCTTCTCGGATCTCTCCCTCGCATTCCATCAACCCAGGACAATGCCCTTGCTAGCAGTCATGTGATCGTAGCGGGCGACTTCAGCGATGAATCCGGCTTCAACTTACTGAGTGCAGCGCTTGGGAGCCTCAAGAATCACGATGAAGCTGAAGTACTGCTCCTGCACAACGTTGGTGCAAACTCGTCTATCTGGACTGGATCCTATACTATCCATCGTTATCTGAAGAAGTGGAAAAAGAAAGATGATGTTGATGCCGCAAAGCTACTGGAAGAGCTCACAGGAACCGACCTATGGTCTCGTGAAGACAAGCAGGAGGCTGAAAGCTTCTGGTGTGCCCACCAGCCTCTGGTCAAAGGTCTTGGACTTTCCTCGGGTGCAAATGCAATCATCATCAATGGAAGAGTCATTGAAGTGCCAGTCGACGTGGCGCTGACTTCTGACGATGTGGACCAGCTACTGGCTTATGAGAGGCAGAAGCGTATTGCTCCTGTTGCCAAGGCTGCCGAAGCATTAGGTTTCGGCGCGAAGCTCAGTGACCCCCTGACCCTTGCTAAATTGACCTCTCTGGCAGCCCTTTCTACCGTTTCCGAAGTGCCGGAGGGTATTTACGAATCGACACCCGACATCCGCGTCAACTTGTTTGAGCGGTGGGACAACGCTCGCTCTACAATCACGGTCTCCAACTCGGAGGATCCTGTAATTACTATTCTAGCCTCTATCGACCCGACATCTGAAGTCGCTCAGAAGTGGTTGCCCATTCTAAAGGTACTCTCGGACTTGGCCAACGTCAGAATGCGGCTCGTCCTGAATCCCCGGGACGAACTGCAGGAGCTGCCCACCAAGCGGTTCTATCGCTACGTGCTGGATTCGGAGCCCTCGTTCAGCCAGGACGGATCTGTCGCTCGTCCTACCGCCTCTTTCTCCGGCGTTCCTGTTGAGGCGCTTCTAACATTGGGCATGGACGTTCCATCTTCGTGGCTTGTGGCTTCGAAGGAATCTGTGTACGACCTTGACAACATCAAGCTGAGCTCGGTTAAAGAGGGTACAAACGTGGACGCAATCTACGCTCTGGAGCACATCCTGATTGAAGGCCACTCACGGGATCTTACTATGAAGACGGCACCGAGGGGAGTGCAGCTCATTCTGGGGACAGAGGAAAGCCCTCAAATCTCCGACACCATCATCATGGCCAATCTGGGTTACTTCCAATTCAAGGCTCAGCCGGGCCTTTGGACAATCAACCTGAAACCCGGCCGCAGCGAACGGATCTTCCAACTTGACAGCCTCGGGAACGAGGGGTACAGCCTCCATCCCAACGACGACACTAGTAACGAGGTTGCCCTTCTCTCCTTCCAGGGCAAGACACTCTTCCCCCGCCTCTCCCGCAAGAAGGGTCAGGAGATGGAAGACGTGCTGGAGACGGGCATAAAGTCCGGCAGCGCGATGGACTACGTCTCCAAGGGCCTCAACTTTGCCTCCGGCGTTCTCTCCAGCGTGGGGATCAACGGCTCCCCCAAGGACGTGGCGGGCGGCAAACAAGCGGACATCAACATCTTCTCCGTGGCGAGCGGCCACCTCTACGAGCGCATGCTCAACATCATGATGGTCTCGGTCATGCGCAACACGGAGCACACGGTCAAGTTTTGGTTCATCGAGCAATTCCTCTCCCCGTCCTTCAAGTCCTTCCTGCCGCACCTGGCGGCCGAGTACGGCTTCTCCTACGAGATGGTGACCTACAAGTGGCCGCACTGGCTGCGGGCGCAGACGGAGAAGCAGCGCGAGATCTGGGGCTACAAGATCTTGTTCCTGGACGTCCTCTTCCCGCTGAGTCTGGACAAGGTGATCTTCGTGGATGCGGACCAGGTCGTGCGCACCGACATGTACGACCTCGTCTCGCTGGACCTGGAGGGCGCGCCCTACGGCTTCACGCCCATGTGCGACTCGCGCCACGAGATGGAGGGCTTCCGCTTCTGGAAGCAAGGCTACTGGAAGAACTTCCTCCGGGGCCAGCCCTACCACATCTCGGCCCTCTACGTCGTCGACCTCAGCCGCTTCCGCGCCCTGGCCGCCGGTGACCGCCTCCGCGGCCAGTACCAGATGCTCTCCGCCGACCCCGGCAGTCTCAGCAACCTCGACCAGGACCTGCCCAACCACATGCAGCACCACATCCCCATCAAGAGCCTACCGCAGGAGTGGCTGTGGTGCGAGACCTGGTGCTCCGACGAGTCCCTGGCCCAGGCCCGCACCATCGACCTCTGCAACAACCCGCTGACCAAGGAGCCCAAGCTCGAGCGGGCCCGCCGGCAGGTCCCCGAGTGGACCGTGTACGATGAGCAGATCGCCGCCTTGGAAAAGAGAGTCCGGGTGGAGGTGCAGGATGTCCGTGAAGAAGAAGTGGAGGCGGAGGCTGATGCTGGTGCTGGATGGGATAAAGATGAGCTTTAGGTGTGGGGCAGGTGGTGTATTGTATAAGCGTATAGCATTGCCATCGATATCTTCTCTTTCTTTCCTATGAGACGATTGACTCCATGTATCTTCTAATCCTGATCCTTCATTCCCGAAGATAGCATAGGCATGTGGTTTGTTTAAGGTGTCGACATGACCCCTCGAAACCGAGAAAGGCACACAGACATGCAGGCATGCAAATGCACAGTACATGTCCCAACTAGCTAGCAAACAAGCTAGATCACCATTTACCCAGCACATTCTACCATCCCCCACTACATAAGTAATCGTACGAAAACACCATGGACATTGATAGCATGTGCCATACTCCATCCATCTCAAATTCATAACCTATGGCAACTAACAAATTATTCAACTCAATGGAACGTCATCTCCGTCTTCATCTTCCCCTTTCTCCCCCTCCCCTACCCGGCCGGGGCTGGCACTTCCTCCCTCCCACCATCCCCGAAATACATTTTGACCTGAGAAAGAACATACAATCACCCCAGCACGCCCGACTCAAGACCACAAACACACCACGCAAAACGAACCGAAATTTTTTTACTCGGAATCCGCATCCGCATCCGAGTCTGAGGATGAGGATTCATCGTCATCATCATCGGATGAGTCGGATTTGGCCCGCGACTTCGCGTCGGACATTATGCCGCTCAGCGTGCTGGGCTTGGGGGCCTTGAGTTTGCTGTTCGCCTTGCTGAGGCTGGCGTCGCGGAGTTCCTTGATGCTGAGGCGTTGGCTTGGGGGTCGGGTGGGTTGGGAGCTGGAGCCGAAGGAGGGGCGCGTGGGGATGGAGGGCCTTGAGAGTCCTTGCTTGGGGGCGGGGGAGTCTTCTTCGGAGGAGGAGGAGGAGGCGGGCTCGGATTCGGACTCGGGTTCGGGTTTGGGGGGTTTCGTGGTGGTGGTGCGCTTGGCGGTAGTGTTGGGTGAGGAGTTGGTCTTGGTGGAGGGTTTGCGGGCGTTAGGGCTGGTGGTGGCGGGTTTGGCGGGCCAGTCGCCGCCGGTGCTGCTTGTTTCGCTGTCGCTGCGTCCGGATTCCTCTTCCTCCTCTTCATCATCATCATCATCTTCTTCTTCGTCCTCGGATGAAGAGGCGGAGGCAGTTGGGGACGGCGACTTTCTGGATTTAATGGCCACCGCTACGGGGCTTCGGGGCTTGATGGTGCTTCCTTGATGCCGTTGTTGGGATGACTTGGTGACGGTTCTCGGGGAGGTGACTTTGAGGTTGGCGGATTTCTGCCCACTGGGTGGAGTGGAATAGTCCTCCTCTTCGCTCTCGTCGCCGTCGCTGTCGCTCCCGTTTTCGCTCTCGACCTCTTCGTCGCGAAGGTTGGGCTTGACATCCCGTTTGGAGTCAGGGCTAGGCGACTCGTCCTCTTCCTCCTCTTCCTCCTCCCCCTCTGACTCCGGAGAGGATTGTTGTCTGCGCTCCGGCTTGATGGCCCGATCGACTAAATCATCGTCACTTTCAGTGGCAGCGGAATCCTCCCGCGAGTCGGTGTTCGTGATATGACGGATAGCCCCAGTGGGCTGTTTCAATGGTGGTGACACGTGTGCATCATCCAGTTCCATTGAGTGCCGTTCATACTTGATGGGAACTTCTGGCTCGGCTGATTCGTCTTCCTCCTCCTCTTGCTCCTCCTCTTCTTCGTCCTCTTCTCCGTCCTCTGCTTCTTCCTCTTGTTCCTCGTTTTCCTCTTCCTCCGACTCCTCCACCTCCGACTCCACGAACTCCTGGCTCTTGAACTTCGTATTAGGCTTTTGCTGAGGGGTACTCACGGCCCGTGACTTGCTCCGGCGGCTGCCATCTGACTTTTTCACAACCGCCGAGTCATGAAACGCATCGGGGTTTTCCTTACTGCGCTGGTTCAAGACCTTGGCCCTGAGCTTCCGCCACTTGTCCGCGCACTGCTGGCGAGAACGGCAGTTGTTCATCTTGTCGCTGACCACTCCCCAAGCGATGTAGACCTCGTCCAACTCGTAAACATCCTGGCCAACTTCGACCCCAGTAGCTTTCATGGTATGCCAGACCTCTTGCAGAACGTCCATCATGGCTTGCACCTCCTGCTCCGACCAGGGACCGCGGTTCATCGTGCGGCGATGCTGCAGCCGGTTCTTCCACCGCTGGACGACATCGTCGTCGCTGCGGCCAATCATCTTCGCAATGTACGCCCACTTGGCGCCGTGTAGCCTGTGCAGCGTGATGAGCTCCTCGTCCTGCTCGTGGGTCCAGTGGTGGGGCTTCTGGGAGGAGCACTGGAAATGGCGGCGCATGAATCGGTAGACGGATCTCTTGTCCCGGTCCGGGATGGTTTCGTAGATTTTCTGCCAGAACTCCGTCTTAGTGATGATGTCGGTGTGCACCGGCCACTGTTCCTGCCCATCCCGGACGGAGTGCTGCACCATCATGTCGAACGTGTCCGCCTCCACGCCGTTGCTGGTGCAGAAGTCCAGCTTGAAGGCCTCCAGCTTCTGGATTTCGTCGGGTGAAAAGAAGCCCGTCTTCCCGCTGGTGGTCTGGCTGCTGTTGCTCTCGTTCTCCTTCTCTTGAGGGCGGCGACCCTTCTTCGGCCGGACCGAGGGGGCGTTGGGCTCCGATGATGCGCCGGTCACATCTCCTTGAGTCCCAGTCCCGGGGGTCGAGGCTTCGGTCTGGTCGGCATCTTGCATCTCGTGGTCGTGGTCCTGGGGTTTCTGGATGGCGACGGGCTCGCCTCGCAGGGCTGGATCGATCGGGATCTCGGGTTCGGGGGTCCCTGACACCGGAGCCGCATCATGGTGATTGTGGTGGTGGCCATTGGTCGCGATCGTCGTGGAGGTCCGCTTGGTGGAAACCGGGCTGCTGATGTACGGAAGCTCTTGCGATTCCTCGCGTTCTTGTTGTTGCTGCTGCTGCTGCTTCTTATTCTTTTTCTTTGATGACTCACCGCCCCCAACCTTCTTGCGCTTCGCGGGGTGGGTAGATGAGTTTGTGAGAGGTGTTCGAGGGGTCTGAGGTACGAAGCCGGCTCTCCCTCCGGCATTGGGGGTGGTGGCATTCAAGGCCGTGCTGTTTCTCTTGCGCTTGGCAGACGCCATCATCTCATCGGCGTCCGATTGCAGAAGTTGCTTGGCTTGATTGAGCACGGACGGGGGGGACGGAGGAGAACTCGAAGAGATCTCAATGATGTCTACTGTTCATTGGGGGGAAATCATGTCAGTCAGGTTTCAGTTTGGGGGGATTAAGGCTTTTTTTCTCTCTTTTGTATTGAGCTACTGAGTAACAGTGACGGAGCGCGTGAGGTGTTATGCACATGTTGAATCGATCCAGTCCATTCAAGAGCAGGTACATACCCTCGTTGAGCCCGTTTGTAGTCTCAGGCGCAGGCTGGGAAGATGAGAGACCCATCGTTTGTTTTTATAGATAGAAGGGAGAGACACTGACTGGAGGGGAAGGGAGCACGGAAAAAAAGCTAACCAGTTGGCAATTTGTGACTAAAGCTTTAACAGGAGCTTTGAAAGGGATCTTGAAGGGCGGTGAATGAGATCAGACAATTAACAACAGGGATGAAGGAGGGGTAAGGGGAACAGGCAAAGTTAGAGTAGTTAAGAGAGGTGGGTGTCAATGATTTTCTCCCAAGAATGGAAGGGAAATTTCCGGAGGTGAAGTTTTTTATTTTTTTTTCACTCTCTCCTCCAGCAGCGAGCGAGGTGGGCGGGCGCCAATTTTTTACGCGGTCCGCTTCTTCACCACCATTTTTTCGCGCTTTACCTCTGCTCTGGCGGTCAACCCGTGCCTTCAATCTGTTCCCGCACCGCAGTGGGATACCACCCACCATTGGATATCACTGTTTACTGTAATGTACCACAAGCGGTAGAACATGATAATTAGAGAGTAATAGGAAAATAGGATGTCATCAAATCTATCGTAACACAGACATATAACCCAGTAACCCAGAAATTCTAGTTTACACTTCAATCTTCAGCTCGCGCAACACCCTCGACACCAACTTCTTCTGGTCTGCGGGATTTAAGTCATGCTCATCGATCGTGGTCAAGCATCGGCCAATTGCTACCGTCGCCTTGACAGCAACATCCCCGGAGTTGGAGCAGTCCACCCAGACCTTGCCATTCCTGCCAATGGCGATCTCGAACCCGCCGGCCTTCTCGAGCTTCTTGCCCAGTTCATCCAGCACCACCAACCCGGCCACCCCCTCCTGCTGCTCGCCCGTCGACGAGCTCGCCCGCATCAACCGAGCCGCCATCCCCGTGGAGATATCAAACACCATCCCGCCGTTCAGGGGCCCTAGACCGCCGGGTTCCGCTCTGCCCGTCGCCGGATTCACGCAGGCCAGCTCGACCTCCGCCCCCGCGCCGAGCCCAACGGACAGCACCCGCGCGTAAACCAGATCGCCCTGCTTCAGCATGGGCCGGGTCTTCTTCGTGGCGCCCTCGAACGAGAGCTGCCCCAGAACCGCATGGGGCGCCTGCGGCGTGATCATGCAGTGGAAGTAGTCGGGGCTGGAGTGGTGGATCTGCGCTATCACCAGGTCGTTGGCCGTGGGCACGTACCGGCGGCGCGGCGAGGAGAGGATCGATACGGCGTTGCGCTTGTTGTCTGTGGAGAGAATCCCGGCCTGCGTGGCGGTAAGGACATGGCTGGGGGAGGAGGTTGAGTTGTTGCTCGTGGTCGGTCGGTGCGGTTGCGAGAGCAAACGGAGGCCGGCGCCCAACCTCAACGGTGCGGAGCTGGTGGAGGGGAGGTACTCGGATGGGATCTCATCGCCGGGCAGGAGAACTAGTGGTGAAGACATGATGCGTATATGTTTGCCTCGCAGGTCAATGCAGCTGCGGGGTGAAGATGGAGGAGTATGATGATGAAAGAAGTTTGGCTGATCGCATGCAAAGGAAAAAGGAAGCGCAAATCGCCCCGTGAGCTTATCGTCTGCAGTGTTTATCTTCACGTGATACGGCGTATGTCCCCCAAGTCTGGGCAAGGGTGCTATGCAACTAACCGATGAATTGGCTTCGGGTGTTAGAATCTCGAGCTATGAAGATTGAAAGTGTTCTAGCCTGTTTTATTGACCTCGAATCTGGAAAGTTAACTCAATACCAGCCTTGGGCTCATGTTGATCCTCTTTGAGAGTGAAAGTGGCGGTCGCACCGCCACATCTATTATCGATAAGCACTAGCCACATCTGCCCGCCAATTGCAAACGAGCCAAAATTTTTTTCCTCGGGGCGAAGGAAAGCGCGGCGGGAACAGCCTCAATAATTGTTCCCTCTTCTTCCTCCGTCCTTACCTTCTCCCATCTCCGTTTTCCCTTGGGATCGCTGCTCATTTTCCTTTCTCTTGTTTCCCTTCCCCATTTCTCACACACATATCACAAGATGAGCTCCGAAACTAACGGCGCTGCCGAGAGATTCGCCATTGGTATCTCCTTTGGCAACTCTTCCAGCTCTATCGCCCGCCTCAACCCTGTACGTACCTGTCTTCGAACTATCTGACATCTCTCTATTCAACAAATCAAACAATGCCCACGCGTGCAATTCAATCTAGAGTGATGCTAATACCATTGTCATGTAGGAGGGCAAGGCTGAGGTCATTGCCAACGAGGAGGGAGGTCAGTTTCAACTCCCCCCATTTTCGCTCACCAGTCCCGGTGGCGCATTGCTCCCAAAGACTGTGAACTTACCAGCATCTAGACCGTCAAATCCCTACCGTTCTTTCCTACATCGAAGGCGAGGAGTACCACGGTGCTCAGGCCAAGAACCAGCTTATCCGCAACTCTCAGAACACTGTTGCATACTTCAGAGACTACCTTGGCAAGGAGTAATTGCTCCCACTTCCCATTCGAAGGAGATCGAAACGTTGACAAGGATTCTAGCTTCAAGTCGATAGACGCTACTCCCTGCCACAACTCCGCCCACCCTCAGCAGCACGATGACACCGTTGCTTTCTCGATCCGCGATACCACCAGCGAGACCCCCAGCACTGTTACCGTCTCTGAGATTGCCACCCGTCACCTGCGCCGTCTTAAGCAGTCCGCCTCCGATTATCTCGGTAAGGAGGTCAACGCTGCCGTCATCACCGTTCCCACCGACTTCAACGATGCCCAGCGTGAGGCCTTGATCGCCTCTGCCAACGCTGCTGGTCTTGAGGTTCTCCAGCTCATCCACGAGCCCGTTGCTGCTGCTCTGGCCTACGATGCTCGCCCCGAGGCTGTCGTGACTGACAAGCTTACCGTTGTCGCCGATCTTGGTGGCACTCGCTCCGATGCTACCGTCATTGCTTGCCGTGGCGGTATGTACACCATCTTGGCCACTGCCCACGACTACGAGCTGGGCGGTGCCACCTTGGACAAGATCGTCATCGACCACTTCGCCAAGGAGTTCATCAAGAAGCACAAGACCGACCCCCGCGAGAACGCTCGTGGCTTGGCCAAGCTCAAGCTTGAGGGTGAGGCTACCAAGCGCGCTTTGAGTCTGGGTACCAACGCTACCCTGAGCATCGAGAGTCTTGCTGATGGAATCGACTATGGTTCCACTATCAACCGCACTCGTTATGAGCTCCTCTCCGGCAAGGTCTTCGCTCAGTTCACTGCCCTGATCGAGCAGGTCGTCAAGAAGGCTGGCCTGGACGTTCTGGACATTGATGAGGTTTGTGGATCCGCCCTCTTGAAACCAGCTCAATCCATCTAATCTTGACAATTTAGGTCATCTTCGCTGGTGGTACTTCCCACACCCCCAAGATTGCCCAGTTGGCCCGCAACATCTTCTCCGAGAAAACCACCATTCTCGCTCCTTCCACCTTCACCGCTGCCATCAACCCCTCTGAGCTTGCTCCCCGCGGTGCTGCCATCCAGGCTTCCCTTATCCAGGAGTTCGACAAGGAGGACATCGAGCAGTCGATCCACCCCATGGTTACTGCCACTCCCCACCTCCAGAACGCCATCGGTGTTGAGGTTTCCTCCGGCGATGCCGTTGACTTCCAGGCCCTTCTCCACGTCGAGACTGCTCTCCCCGCTCGCCGTACCGCTCAGTTCTCTGCTCCCAAGGAGGGAGGTGACGTTCTGATCCGCGTCTGCGAGGGGGTCCGCGAGATCAAGGTCACCAAGCCCGAGCCCAAGCCCAAGGAGGAGAAGGCTGAGGCTGACGAGGATGACTCCGACTTCTCTGACTCCGATGAGGAGGAGGAGGAGATCCGTGAGATTGTCTGGAAGACCGAGAAGCCTATTGCCGAGCTGGCCGTCAAGGGTGTCAAGGCCGGCAGCAAGGTTGAGCTCATGATCCACGTCGATGCCGACCTTGGCCTGCAGATCACCGCTCGGGAGGTCGGAGGCCAAAGCGCCGTCCGCGGTGCTGTCGAGGCTCCCAAGGCCTAGATAGCCCGTCTCTGAGTTATGAATCTGCTACCAAAATATTTATGTTGCATCTTTTGCATGAATCGATTTACAATCTCACTTGCTTGGTTTCTACTGCCGGATATTACCCAACTTCCTTTTTTCCTGGTTTCTCTTCCGCAGAAGCTTACGAACCACGTCTCAAGACATCATTCAGTTTTCAATCGGAAAGAGGCACCTAATTCTGTGTTCTGCTTGGCCATGACTTTTTGACGACAAATGTATTCATGAAGGCTTCTGAAAAGTATATATAGAGAACTGCAATGACGCGGAATAGAGAATGATAGATTTTGCGGATTCTTCTCTTGTCTTGCGTGTTACCATCTTTACAATTTGTAGTAGTCCATAACTATGCTCCCGAGTCTTTGAGTTCTTTTTGTTCAAACGAGCTATATTACAATTACTAAATGTAAATATAGTGTAACAACAGTAAGCGAACAAGGCATACAGGGTACACAGTACAGGTCGGCAAACAAAGTAACAACCGACTAAAGCTCAAGCAGATCCCCAACAGGATAGATTAAGATTAACGAGCCACCAGATCATGAACGATGGTATACAGTCAGAACAGTAGAATGTGCGTGGGTGCGCAGCACAACATAGCATCAGGGAATAAGACATCAAAGAAATTCATATAGGCTGCGGAATAGGCGTGAGACTATTCAGAAGGGAGGGTGAGTATAAGCATTATCAAACGGAGCTTCCTCAGCCACGGTGGTTAACCCCACCCTCTCCAGCGAGGTATGTAGATCGATCGGGAGTAAGAAACAGTAAATCTCTCTCTTTGCACCTGATCGATGAACAAACGCCGTGCCCGTTACTTTCTTCGTCTCGTACGGACAACAGCAACAACAAAAGACCAGTGCGAATTGGGAAGTCTCTTTCTTTCTCTGTGGGAGTTTAAACCGTAGCAGTAGTCTCCTTGTTACTCCTCAAGCTGTTGGAGCGAGCGGACGAGAAGAACCCCTTCCGGCGGTGCTCGCGGCCGCTGTAGCCCCGGCCCCGGTCCTTGCGGCCCGTCGCGCCGCCCATGCAGTAGGCCAGGCAGGCGAGGAAGAGACAGGCGACCGCGGTCCACATGAAGGCGAAGGCCTTGACTCCCAGCCGGGCGGTTTGGTTGTTGGCGTTGAACTTGTTCCGGCCCTGGACGTAGACGGCACTGCGGGTTTAATCGTTAATTTCCGTTGATTTCTAGGGTTCTGGTTTGCCAGAAGTGTTTGGTTTGGTCTGGCCTGGTTGGCAGGGCAGAACTTACGTGATCAGGCAGGTGGAGATGATCTGGAAGACCAGGGCGATCCAGGCCATCAGCGAGGACAGGTAGCTGCCGATGCGCGTGCACATGGCCAGGAAGCCGGTGAGGAGGGAGATGACGCCGAAGAAGAGGGCGATCAGGAGGAAGGGGAAGGAGAACCGCGAGGTGAGGAAGTAGTGGTTCGTTCTGGAGATGGGAATCAGTTGTGGTTCTAAGAACAGAAGCGTGGTGAAGTCAAGTGACTTACCCGATGAAGGCAGCGGGGATGTTGGTGGTGGTGTCGAAGTTACGAGAGCTGGGGGGGTCGAAGGGGTAGTCCGGGTGAGACGAGCCGCATTGGCTCTTGCCATTGACCACCGCGCATAGCTGCCAGAACGTCCAGCGAGACAGCGAGGGTGCCCCCGGGATGTTGCTTGTGTCGACCTGCAGGAAGTAGATCTCGTTCAAGGGTCGGGTGTTGGTCGCGCCGCCCAGGAGAGTCAGGAACATGAGCAGGAGGGCTCCCGCTGTGAAGAAGAGGCCAAGAAAGCCCAATGCCACTCCTGGAGAATAGAGACGCGGAATGTTAGCCCATGCGCTATAGTATAGAAGTGGATCATAGGGCTGGGAAGGTGGGTGGGTGGGCTTACTGCTGAGCACCATCGTGATACTGTGTATGATTTCCTTTTTTTCTTTTGCGCCTTCGGGCTTGGGTCCGGGATGGTGAGTTCTTTTCCTAGGCTCTGATGTGCAACGGTATGCGCTTGATGGTATACCTAGGTGATTTATGGGCTTGGAGGACTGATGGGAGGAGATGAAGCGTAGGGAGGAAGAAATGGGGGAAGTATAAGGGAGAGAGGGTCAGTCAGGGTCTGAAGAGAAGAGTTCTGGTATTATAATATCCGAAGTGTCCGGGGGAGGGTCGACCCAGGGGGTAGTGATATAATCATGAGGATGCATCATCATCGGGGGTGGTTCATCCGCAGGCACTGATGAAAAGTCCTTTCAGTCTCACAGCCATAGTTTAGTTCATTTCATTCGAGTAGAAACGGAAGAGTGACGGTACTATCGACGTCATCGTTGCAGCAGGCCCCGCTAACTGGCCTCGGCTAGTCTAAACTCTAGTGCTGCACTAGTCCAGATCGGGTAGTCTAGACTTCACCTCTTCGGTCCTTCATGACGTTCGATGCTCTCTCGATCGTCGAGCTTGAGTGCTGCAACTTCACCTCTACAACCACCCACAGGACAGAAAACGTGAACGTTGCACCACCACCCACCCCCAATTGAGTTGGGTACCCGACTCCTCTCGACGTGGATCGTCTGGCAAGCTAGTGCGGAAATTTTCTTCTGTCTACTACGTACTGCATCATCGTCCCTTTCGAGGCCCAGAGTTGAATTCTGCTGCCTGACCCTCTCTACTCATACTATCCCCCCACCCCCTAGTTCATATCGAAAGACTGCGTCTACGCCATATGCCACTCCTAAAACCCTAAGCACATCCGATCCTCCGGAAACCTAGGCCCCTAGAACATTTGTGGAATTTTAGCTGTCAGACGGATCACACTATGGCCACTTGGGCTTACCCACCCCTTCCCCCAGCACGCCTGGAACAGGAAGTGGAATCCACGTTGGTATGCCCCTACCCGGTGCTTATCTTAACTTACCACTATACGACATAAAGAGCTTGGTCCAACTCATTGAATGCTTACCCATTGACCTGCATAATAGGCCAAGGAGCTAGAGTGGCTATTACGCTCCCTGCAAGATTCACTCGTCTCGCTTAGGGAAGGTTTGCATGATTGTGCTGCTTTGCTGGCTCCCAAAGAGCCGGGCTCAACCTTAGTGCTGTCGTCCCTTCGGTCCGAAAATGTGAAAGGCTACGTAACCCGGGTTGGGACGCAAATCGTCAAAGGTGTATGTCATCTTCCCCAATTTTCGGTTCTTCTTCGATGGTTGATGTGATAACTTTATTTTTTCTGCCCATCGATCGACACCCCTGCATCATCATCATCATCATCATCATCACCACCACCATCACACCTTGCTTGCTGCAATCTACATGCACCCTCGGGAATTAAAATTTACTGATCGTGCCTGACATGATAGGATATTCAACTTCGTCTAAGTTCTCTAGCCTCAGCACGCGGGTCAGCCAACACCCGCTTATGCCTGTCCAATGCCTCTGAGGCTCCAGAGCTTGTGCTTGATCAGCTGGTCTCCGTAAAGAATCTGGTCAACCAGAGCTTGGACATTGTAGATGTTAGTACATGGACGGGCGACCCACTCAACGCTGGCTTCATCTTCAGTCAGTTGCATCTCCTGCGTGAGACCATCACCGAGGCACGGCAGATGCTCAAGGGTGAGAGCGACAAGGTCAAACAGAAATGGTGGGAGGCTAGTGCGGCAGAGAACGTGAGTGATGATTGTTTTGCGCTTCACTGGAGTTGAGGACTGATGTAGACCTCTGAAGATGTTTGACCCTCCGCTGCCACCCTGTCTTTCTTTCCATCTCACTATTGCTGATTCCGCGCTGGTCTTACACCTGCGAACTCTGGAATCCAGCACACCAACCCATACGCCCACAGCGTTCGCCTCTGACATCTCGCTCACCGGGTTCAACATCAGGGACCGGCTCTTTGGCACCCGTCATCGGCCTCATGACGAAGCCGGCGATGTCTTCACCTGGAAGGGAGACGAAGTAAAGGTGAAAGAAAAAGTCCGCGTAGAAAGTCAGGACCCGAGCTTGATGGCCGTCATGGCCAAGTTGACTGCCCTGGAGCACGAGGTCCAGAAATGGATCTCGGCTCTGAAGGTGCTTATGGGTAACGAAGATACAGATAGTGACTCCTAATTTTACAGTTGTGTAAGAAAGAATTAATCATTTCCGTCTATATCTTGCCACCTTACAGGGCTTCGAGTGGTTACAGGTGCTCCGGTCTAGATGGCTTACGTAAGGAAGATCCCCTTGCCATCTGCCAATCAGAGATAAGCAATTTGCAGCGTCTTGGCACAAGTTTTCCGAGCTACAAAGTTGCAGGCAGGGTGGCAAGCCAACAAATTTCTGCGCAGGTACATCCTTCTGTACTTCACTTTCCAACGTTGCGGATAGAGTCGCGGACCGGTGAGGATGCTGTCCAGATCTCCGGCGACACGGGCGACGCCTCAGGGGCTGCTGCGCGCTGCAGTCAACAGAACGTCGCAGTTCAGCACGCAACAACTCCGCCGCGGAGCGGCAAGCTTCGTGAACGGGCGGTCCCGGACTACGACCACAAGGAGATGTCTCTCTTCGACCTCGAATACCAATAAGCTCCCGCGAGCACCGACAGAAGTTCGACCTGGACAGTGGACGATTGGGTCGAGGTACTCTTCCTCCTCTGCAACGCCCGCCGTGCCGGATGCTACACATGCGGAGCGGAAGGATGCCGTCTACGCCCTGATCGATGAGATCAACCAAAATGAAGCCGCCATGGCCGATATCATGGAGGAACTGGACTTGCTCGACGACTTCGATCAGGCTCTTAGCCTCGACGGCTTGGAATATGAGCACGCATTCAGTCAGACCATCGGTCACCGAGACCAGGAGACACTGGAGGGACGGGTGCGGATGGCGAGACAGGAGTTTCGGGAATACCTGCCCCCCGATTACTTGAATGCCCGCGAGACCGAATTATACAGCAGACTCTACGGTGAACCGATCTACCGCGACCTTGACAGCATTCAACCTGACCTCAAGCTCGCTGAGGGGTTGGAAGAAGAACAGGACCCCGCCGCCGATCAACTATACCGTGAAGACGGACAAGGGGGTTGGGAAGAGGTTGAGATGGTTGAGGAAGAACTCGAGCTCGAGCTCGAACCGGAGGAGGACGACGTACCAGTGGTTTACGACATGGAGGCTGGACCGGAGGTGCCGGAAACAGACGCCATGCGGCGCACGCGCGAGATCGCCGAGCAGCTCGGCGGAGAGGTCATGCTCGAGCAGTTCCAGGACGAGGCTGTGCCCGATGGTAACGATAACCCCCGATTCCACCCGACCACTGAGCTGGGCAGATCTGGCACGAATCCCAGCACGGTCTTTTTGCCAAATGACACGTTGGTGAAGCCCATCTCGATGATCCTGTCGGATTTCTCCAATAAGCACCTCCAGGAGACCGCTCGCCGTGTCTTCAAGGGCCAATACCTTCCTTTGTCCGTTACGACTCCCCCCAGATCCGTTCAAGCCCCTCAACTACCGAGCCCTTTGGAGGCTTCGCAGCGTCACATGTCCGAGATGGAATCTAATGCTTACCTTGCGGCCATGTACCCTGGTTTCTATGCGAGTGTGCTGAGTGTCCTGGTTGAGGTACGCAAGCGACTGGGGACAGACTGGCTGCGAGGTTTGATGACCAAGGAAGAAGGCCCGAGTGTGCTTGATGCCAGTGCTGGAGGTGCTGGTATCATTGCGTGGCGGGAGATTATGCGTGCAGAGTGGGAGGTCATGGATCCAGAGCGCCCTTTCTCCGAAATCCCAATCGGCAAGTCGACGGTCGTGGTAGGATCTAATAGTCTTCGTGCTCGCGCTTCTGCATTGCTGCATAACACGACCTTCCTTCCTCGACTTCCTGACTACGTTCACCTTCGCGAAAATGCGACGCTAGACGACGACCGGGCGCCGAAGCGGAAACAGTTCGACATCGTTATCGCCCCGCACTCCATTCACCCGATCGACGAGGAGTATCTGCGGAAGGAGCATGTCAAGAACCTTTGGCAGCTGGTCAATCCCAACGGTGGTATCCTCATTCTGCTTGAGAAGGGCCACCAGCGGGGGTTCGAGGCCATCGCTGGAGCCCGTGATATGCTGCTCAAGCGCGTCATCCGCAACACCGACCTCAAGACCTCCGACGAAGAAATCGCTTCGGAAGAGGATGCGGAGGAGGAACTTGACCTCGACAAGGAACCCGGCATGATCATTGCGCCTTGCACCAACCACGCCCAGTGTCCCATGTACCGTGTTCCCGGCCACACCGTTGGGCGCGGCGACTGGTGCCACTTCAAGCAGCGATACATCCGGCCCCCCTTCCTGCAGCGCATCATCGACGCCAAGACGCACAACCACGAGGACCTGCGATTCAGCTACCTCGCGGTGCAGCGCGGGGTCGATCTCCGCGAAGAGAAGGGCTTCAAGCAGGACCGCGTGGCCAAGTTCCACGCCGCCAAGGGATACGAGCACCTGTTCCCGGACCCGCAGACGCGGGCGGCCATGACCGAGGAGGAGCAGCAGAGGCTGGCGGAGCAGGAGGCGCAGTTCGAGCCGCTGACCCTGCCGCGCATCGTCTACCCGCCGCTGAAGCGCCGCGGCCACGTCACCTTCGACATCTGCACCCCGGATGCGCAGATCGAGCGCTGGACCGTCCCCCGCTCCTTCAGCCGGCAGGCGTACCGGGACGTGCGCAAGTCGCAATGGGGCGACCTGTGGGCGCTGGGGTCGAAGACGCAGATCGAGCGCAAGGTCAAGCTGGGCACGAAACACGGGCTGAGCAAGAAGGACCGCCTGGAAGCGCGCGCCGCGGCCCGCGAGGCGGCCAAGGACGCCCAGGAGGAGGAGGAAGCCGATGCTGCGGCGCAGGATCGCAAACCGGAACTGCTCATTCCCAAGCGCAAGAAGGGAGAGAAGATCCCCAGCTGGAAGAAGCATCAGGATAAGAAAAAGGTGCGCCAACATTACAGTCAGTTGAAGCCTGCGGACTCGTAGCCAGGCGGTCAGAAAAGGGTGTTGTTCAAGATGTTCGGGGTTTTTTGATTGGGATTTTTTTTCGTTTCATCATGGTTGGCGGCGTATTTGTCTAAGGAGGATTCTGTTGCCGGGCTGCGGACATTATCTACTACGGGCTCTGGAGCACATTTGGCATAGATTCTGTAAATTTTCATGTATGATATGTGGTTATTGTATGGATATTAGCTATCTTAGTTGAGAGCTCTTCACTCAAAAGGCATTTTCTCCACTTCCATATCTTGGTCATTAGTGTTTTGTTTCGTTTGGCTTCTTTTCCATTGGACTCGTCTTTGTGTGTGACACTCTGGGTGAAGTGCACGCCTGCAGGCCAGGCGTGAGTCCAGCGTACTGGATTGTTGTGGCTTGGCACCGTCCATCAGGTCTTGTAATTTGTGTCAGGAAATGTTGTGACATCCCCACGACACGAGCAAGACGGATCCGCCGCGGGGGGAGTAGGGAGGCTAGACACCCATTGGACCTTGAATGATACTAGATTGATCAGCCACAAAGTGTCCTGATGGTAACAATTCTGCCACCCCAAACTCGCAACTCAAGCGAGCCCAGGACACGAGTCGAGTCTTTTCATGCCCAGCCCCGCGGACCGATTTGCTCGAGAGATTCAGGCATAACCCGCTTCCTTCCACCCCTTCATTTCTGTTTTCCCGAAAAGATCATCTCCGCCAGCCCGCGAACTTCACTGGAAAGCCATACTCTTCCGCAGCTGCCGTTCCCGCTGCTTCCCCTGCAACTCCAGTCGCTCCACCGCGTACTGCAGACGCTCTTTCTTCTGAATCAGTCGCCGGAGCTCGGCCGCCTTGGCCGCCTTGCTGGCTGCCGCCGCCGCAGCACCGGCTCTGGGTTTGGGGTTGGGTTTGTTGGCCAGCTGTCGCTTCTGCTGCTGCCGCTCCTCATTGGAGTACAGCCGCCCCTGCTGCAGGTCGCACTTCGCGCGGAGCCCCTGCTCGCGCCGCGAGAGCTTCTCGACGTGGTTGGTGGCGAGTTCGAGGAGGTGGGCGATGCTGGGGGTGATTTCGTCGAGGAGGGATTGCTGCGCTTCGCGGAGGGTGGGTTCGGGGAGGAGTTCGAAGTGCTGGCCTCCAAGTTAGTGGTTTGATGGGGTTTGTTTTGGGGACAGGTGGTGCGGTACGTACTCGGGTGGTTTGGAGGACCTTGGAGAGGCGGGGAAAGTCGCTGACTCCGGCGTCGAGGGTGGAGATGGAGGAGTCGAGAAGTTGGAGGGAGGATTGCAGGGAGGAGACGGAGAGTTGGAGGTGTTCTGCCATGTTTTGTGACTGATTCTTGGGTGATTGTATGATCAATGTGCAGATGCAGATATAGTGTCTGGATGTTGTTATCGATTGCCGGATGTTTACATTGTCGGGAATCCGGAGCGGAGGGGACAAAAGCGGCGGGGAAACTATCCCCCTTTGGGTCTCGGACCTCCGGACAAACCTCGTTGCATCCGCAACCTCCCTCGTTCCGCCTCGCTCTCCTTCTACCTCACCAGCTGCTGCTTCTTCCCTATCCTCTCTCTCCACATCCAGCACCTCGCTTCCACACAACTTGCTTCACCATGTCTCTCCTCGGAAAGAAGTTCCCCACCCCCGTTGGTGAGTTTCTGCTTGATCCCGAGTGCTCTTGCCCGCGGTGTTCTCCCATCGTTGTGGCATGAATAATAAAGCATGGAATTGACTGACTTGGACGCATTTACAGCCGGTCCCCTCGGCCCCTTCTTCGCTGCCGGTATGCACTTATAACCTATTCTTTCAACTTGCAACGCTGCTTCCTTCGGCGCAGAGCCGAAATGACGCGATGAAATGTGATGGGTCCCAGATTTAACATGCAATCACTTGCAGGTCTCGTCGTCCTGTATGGCGTCAACTCCCTCCAGAACGCCCTGATGAACAGTAAGTTGCTTTCCGGGCCGCGCCACACACCGTCTTTCTTCCTCTGTGATCTACCGAGGGGAGAGAAACACTCCGCCGACGCGATCGCTTCTCTCGCACACATCGACCAAACCCAATAACTAATTCGATCCTTTTGCTCTACAGCCGCCGAGTTCAAGAACGACCCCCGCAACCCCAACGCCAAGGCCACCAAGCACTAGATGTTTTGTTATCTTTCTAGAGAGACAAAGCTGATATGGCGGACGTCATCAAGGGTTGATTTGAGCGCGGGCATGATTCCGTTATTGGTGTCGAGTTTGCATGCCACTTTTTTCACGCCCTGTACAAGCATATAGAAGAGATACCGTCATAGGAAATATTGGTGAATTGACAAGTTGTTGTATCAATATCAGTATGTTCTCTTTCAAGCTTGGGCTTTTGAGTTTGGAGTGCGCCGGGTGCGAGCTCAAGTGTGCTTTGCGAGGGCTTCGTCGTTGTCTGCCCAAGGTGCTAGCCAGGGCCAGTGAGGGAGCATGCCACGGGTCTATCGTGGTTTCTGGTCTCGAATTCAATACTCGGCTGGGCATTGTCCGCACATCGTACACGCAATACGTAGTTCGTGAGTAGAGGTGTGTCGACAGGCCTTTGTAAGTAGCCTATTAGATCTCCTCAGCATATCTTGCGCAATGAACAATATCACAATGTTTCCTGATATAATCAATGGAGTTATGCTACAAATCAGAGCGTGTTATACATCGAGCTTGCGATATGCATGTTGCGGAGCAGCGCAAATGTCAATGTGATAGTACACTAAACTCGATCGGGAAGGCATATTTTCCCCATCCCGTGACTTTCGCCGCTCCGGCCAAACTCCCGTAGTTATCGGAACTCATTCAACGAATCCCAGATCCAATCCGACCTCGAAACCCCAGTCGCTTGCCCCCGGCACAATAATCCCACCATGTCTATGTTCAGGAACAAGAAGCTCGACCTCGGCGGCTTCATCAACGGCAAGATCATCCGTGACCACACCAAGCGGAGAGTCTTCGAGGCGAACGAAGTCGAACGGTATGAAGCCCTACTGCACTAACTACCCTCTCGCCGACCGGCCTCGTCAGGCTAGACTTGCGCCCTCATTTCCCTTCTGAATCCGATCTGGAAATCACCAATCGCTAATGCATCTCCCGCTGTACAGTCAAGCTCTCCGCTATGTGATCCGCAACACCACTCTCCCCCAGCGTGCCCGTGCTCAGGCGCAATTGCAGCTGGCCCAGATGCATGCTTACACCCGGTCCACCCAGATCAGGAACCGTTGTGTAGCGGGTGGTGTCGCTCGATCCGTCATCCGGGACTTCCGACTTGGAAGAGTGAGCTCCCCTCCCCCCTCTTTTTCTTTTTTATTTCGACAGAAGGCATAGAGTTAGCTAACGGGAGGGACTTTTCTCGTCTGGCAGTACCAATTCCGTGAACAAGCGTTGGCCGGCGAGCTTCCCGGCGTGAGAAAGGCCAGTTGGTAGACTTGGTGTTGTTTGTGTGGTCGTCTGCGACACCCTCCCGGTTTCTATGTGCATTTGACAAGCTTCTCTGGGTTGGTTCGGTGCTTTCCTGATGGCGTTTCTTTTTGTGTGTGTTCCTTCTTCCCGATCTTCCCTGGGGAAGGAGATGTACTATATATTATGATGGGTATTGATCGAGAATATAAAACCAGCGATCTTTATGAGAAGTTGAATTCGTGACTGCTGAGGGGGGCGGGTAGACTTGGTGCACTTTGGGGGGCATGTGCTTGCTTCTCTCTGATGACGAATACCTTGGAAGCTGACGGCTGTCGGAGTTGAGTCTGTCTGTACTAGCATCGTTGGGGTCTTGCAGCTGAAGACCACCGGAGTGCATTTCTCACTTCATGGTCACTCTGCTCTTCCTCTGCCGCTTGCTCTAGTGTGCATGAGGCATGAGAACAGGACTATTGGCAGAGAATCCGAATCTTCATGAACGATGTCCTGCTCCGTTCCTCGAGAGGACACAGCCTGAAGCAGCTTCAAGGCTGCTACTGACCGGACTCTCACCTTCCCATTCACTGCAGTGCACACAGCAAACGGAGCTTCAGTTCTGGATTCACAGCGGGAAGCTGCATCTCAGCATCAACTTTCCCCAATCCACCGCCTCTCTTCCACTGTCTTCTATCTCTTTGCTTCTTGTCCTGTCTCACTTCTGCTTCACAGCAATAACGACTACTGGCTCCGTCTACCTCACATTGTTGAAGATGTTCGTCTACCGCCGCGAAGATCTTCCCGCAGACCCGGTGTTTCCAGCGGACCTGACAAAACTGGGGTAGCTCTCATGGCATATTCCATCATGGAGTACCCATCATGCTGAGAAAGGAATACAGGTACTTCGTGACCGATCAGGACCAGATCCGCAAGATCTCGGACCCAACACAGGAATTCCAGTACAGGATCAACCGCAACGGCCGCTGGAATGATGTCCAGAGAGAAGCTATGAACGGTAAGTCTGACTAGCTATCTGCACCAAAGCCTCGACTACTCCTGCTCTGGCCCTGCTCTTCTCCTCTAACAGTCTTGCTTGTTCACCAAGAATGCATTCGCAAGATCGTCAGCTCCCGCCTGCGCGACCTCGGCCTCGTCAATCTCCACCTCCCGCTCCGTGCCAAAACCAAGGAGGCCCATGTCCCGATCATGGTGTCGAGGAACCTGTCCACTGCCTCGCACATCATCGTGGTGTTCGGCGAGCCCATCCAGGACCTGGGCATCTGGGCCTACCGCAGCGTTGGCTGTGACGGAGTTGACGCCGGCTCCCTCGTGTCCTTTGTGAGGGCCGTGCTGCGTCAGGGCCGGACTGATAGCAATAGTGGAAGTGGTGACAGTGACAGTGATGATTCAACAACAAACATGCCCAACACCGCGTTGGTGCTGGCCAACACCGGCCAACTCGTCTGGCACTGTGCCTCCGGTCAAGCGATCACGCTGGTCCGTTGGCAGCACATGCCCCGTGCCTCGGCCGTGGACCCGCCCCCCGAGATGTCGCCCCGCAACCAGATTCCCGGCCACGAGTACTGGCAGAGACATGTCAACCGTGTGTTCGAGGACATCCTGTCCGCGCGGGGTCGGCTGGTGCGCCCGGATGCGCGAATCAGTGTTGTGGGGGCCTCGGAGGGCGGGCTGGGTGCGCTTCGGTACTTGAATAGGAACTGTGAGTGTTGACCGTATCTTACTGGTTGTCCGTTCCTGGTGATGGTTGAAGCGACAAAACTGACGTACGATGGAACAGGGAGCTCCTGGAGATCATTGATCTCTGCGATCTGTCTCGCCAATCCTCTTCAGATGGCCAGGATTGAGTTTGGAAGCGACTACGAGAATGCCGCCCTGGCGGATCCGACCTCCTTCGCGGCCTTTGTGGCGTCACGCTGCCGCGGTTATCTGCTGTCGGATCAGCCGCTGGGGGTCCCGGTCGAGGCAATGCTTGATAGCGGGTGTAATTGCTACGCCTCGGGCGAGGCATTGAACTCGGAGTGTATCATGCCGAAGGCGTGGAGACATGCGCTGCGGTGGCTGAATCAGGCTTTGGCGGACCCAGCTTACGGAGAGGCGAGGTTGGAGATTATGCACGTTGACGGTGATGAGCTGGAGGATGCGGTGGATGCTGAGGTAGACGAAGAGGGAAGGCGCTTCTAGGTTGAGCTGTCTACTTTGTTCTTGTAATCCAGCCTTTTCGGTGGACGAGCACGCTTGCTTGAACTTGGCGTACTTGTCTTGTAGCATAGATAGCTTCAATGGTCAGTCCGGACCTCTACTAAGTCATAAGCGAGATTAGTAGTATGTCGAGGTTTAGACACTACCTAGTAGCTCTAATCCATTGCCCAATTCGGCTCTATATGCTAGATGGTTAGAGCACGAGGCAAGACCACAATCTGGCCAGAAGTGTCTTCGAGGCTACAGCAACTCAGCCCAATTGATATCCACAGCGTCTTCAAGAATTGACGTATACACTACCCATGAGCTACAATGCTCACAAAATACACCGAAACTACCCACACATACCAACGAAACTTGTAATGCTACATTGATCGTCATAATCATACAAGTGATGACTTTAGTACAAACTACGCCTTTGCATCCTGTTTATCCAGATCCACCTCCTTCTCCTTCTCCTCCCACCTTTCCCTCACCCTCCTCCTCACCCCACCATTCACCCCTCTCCCCCAAATCTCCTCCTTGACTCCCGTACCAGCAGCAGCAGCAGCAGCAGCAGCAACATCATCCCCATCCCCCTCACCACCCTTACCACCCTTACCGCTGCCACCAACCTCCTCCCTCCCCACCACAACCTTCACCTCCCGCACCCGCTGCTCCCTCCCCCTCGCCACGCGCACCTTCCGGAGG